CGCCTATTTGCTATGTACGGACCTAAGCCTAAGCTATGAATATCGGCCTGATCTCTTTGAACAAATTTTCTAACTATGCGGCATATATTTAGAATTACAACCTATTATTATGTCATCCTTCAATGGTACCATACAATTATCATCCACAAAAAATACAATATGATGATATAATATTTTAAAATACATTTAGGTACATTGTGCAACAAAATTAATTACAGTAAATTGAAATTAAATGTCAAAACTCGATGATTATCGCTTTCACTAATTTGAAATTTATTTATTTTGTATTTACAATGCTCACAATGTTTTGTTCGTCACGACCTTATTGTTATTAGTCTAGTTGGAGTGAACAACGTTCTAAAATATAGCGATGGGATATCTTTACTCATAAATATTTAAGAACGGTCGGTTAAATATTTACAATGAGAATATTGTAAATCTTTAACAGATATAATAAATATACTAATATACCTTTAGGATGTTATCCCAGATGAGATTGTTACAGAAATAGAAATAGAAATAATATTTTTTTTTATTTTGAATAGTCATATTTTTTTCTACCACTAGTTCGGATTGCAGACTCATCACAAAAATAATGTGTAAGAAATTTCCGTGTTGCTCTTATAAATAACTATTTTTCAGAGTTTATCTTTCCTCATGAATATCTAAGAACGATCGGTTAAATATTTGCAATTATCTTCTTCTCAATAATAAATATACTAATATACTTTTAGGATTTTTAACCCAGATGAGGTTGTCACAGAAATAGAAATAGAAATAATCTTTTTTTTACTCAAATAAACTTAATATAAGATTGAAAAAGAAAAAGCACTTCTGAATAGCCATATTTTTTTTCTACCACTCATTCGGAATGCAGACTAATCACAAGAATTATGAGTAAGAATCAGAGTTTATCTTTCCTCATGAATATCTAAGAACGGTCGGTTAAATAATTACAATTATTTTTTTTAAGATTTTTAACCCAGACGAGGTTGTCACAGAAATAGAAATAATCTTTATTTTATTCAAATAAACTTAATATAAGAAGGATTAGGATATATATAGAAAGCATTAAGAAGTAGCATTATTAAATAGGTATTAGAGGTAGACTGTAAATACTCATCTGCGTGGATACTACAGTTTCACCTATTTCAGTCATCGAGCATCTTGCTTTGTAATCTGTTTTTGGTTAGCAGGATGTTTTCGTACTGTAGAATAAGAGACATAACATCTTAGTCCTATGAAATGGCAATGCACGAGTGGTATCGGGTGTACCATGATAACCTGATGATCGTAGTGCTGTTCAAGTTTACAGGCGACGGTTATTAATATCAATCTTTTTTTGCCATTCCAATTTTCAATCCGCATTAAAACAGTCCTCTAGTGGCGACCGCGGACTGAAAGATGCAGCGTGGGAAGGCCTCCAGAAAGGGAACTGACGATTTGGTCTAGATTGTTGGAAGACATTGGATGCGAGCAGCTAAGGACCGATCGTCGTGGAGATCTTTGGGGGAGACCTTTGTGCAGCAGTGGACGTCTTCCAAGCTGAAATGATGATTAAAATACAGTAAATTCACTCACCAGAGTCAGTCTGAAAATGATCTATCAATACTCTAATTATTCTACCAAAAGCGACATTGCAATGCATTTATCACGAAATCAATTGTAATTCCCTATTAACTGCACAATTGTGAATTCACAAATAACTAGATGCATAAAAACGTTTCAAAATCCTGCATTCTCACGTCGGTATTACAAGATCTAAGCTCGGATATTACGGCGTGCCTGACGCCTTTCCAGGGTTGCCAGAATAAAATAGAACATTCTTTGTTCAAACAAACTTTTGAATCAAGCACTTTTGAATAATTATAGTAATTTTTTTAATATACCGCTCATTCGGAAATCAAGTGCGAAAATTCGGAAGAGGCGATCGAGTGGGTCAGTGTCACCAACTAATTTCATAAGGATCAATAACGCGCACGAAAGATGTCTGTAACATATACGTAACCATATACCATAAGATGGGCCGTTTGCTTGACTGTGACTTTCGAGACTTAGAAAGAAAGAAAACTAGAGGACAGGTATGGTATCTCTACCTGAGTGCAACGCATGAGTAGTATCACGGGCATCACATGACAACGTGATGAGCGTAATGCTGTTCATATAGGCGAAGATTACCACTTACCATCAGGTAGACCGGCAGCCTTACTGCCATTTTATTGACATGAAAAACGCGCGTTGCACGATTGACAACCCTCTGCCTGACGTCTAGAGTTGAGATTAATTTAGATGCATTCAATTTTATGAGGAACTGCACACTACATTGTAATGTGTTGAAGTTTGATTGTTTGTTGACTGGTTGAAGTAAAGCCTCTTTCTATTCTGTACAGTCGGCTACAGAAATCTATACCGATCTGTTATCGGCTTTGTACATATATGTGTCTGCATAGTTAGTAACAAAAAAAATGACTGAAAAATGTAAAGTACAACATTTGTATAAAATACCTACAGAAAAGTGTTTTGTCTTGTGCTAAAACTGTACAAATGAAAAAGTGACTATTTAAAAACGTTTAAATTTAAGTTTATTTAATTCCTTCAGCTGCTAAAACTGCTTATCAAATGAAAAAGTGACTATACAAAAACGCTTAAATTTATGTTTATTTAATTCTTTCATCTGCTAAAACTGCTTATCAAATGAAAAGGTGACTATTCAAAAACGTTTAAGTTTAATTTTATTTAATTCTTTCATCTGCTTATATCAAATGAAAAAATGACTATTCAAAAACGTTTAAATTTAATTAATTCTTTCACGAACTTGACTATTCAAAAACGTTTAAATTTATTTTATTTAAATATAAAATTTTAACTTTTTTTAATTTTTTTTATCTATCCTCAACATCGATGTCAATTACTCGCAAAACATAACAAAAGCGGTTTTTATCTGCCATGTACCACGCCTAATTAATACTCTGTGATACTGCGCGTATATCTATGGGTCCCTCGGCAAATTCGAAAATCTCTTTGCTTGTAATCTACAATAAGACAATTTGTCGTGTTCCTTGCTTATTTTATTTAAAGGATAATAATGGAATCGTACATCCCCAGGCGCTAACGGTAACGCAGACGGAGCTTCAGTAGAGGATGATAAGATGAGCATAAATTTATCACGATGGTTTCCAGAAGAAACTGCGTGGATGACTACCTAACATTGTACATTGCTAGCAATAAGATCATTAATCCATATTACTGATAAACCCGGTCTCCCTAAACTATTGAAATTCTTATCGAAGGTAGTAGCAAAATAAGGTATACATATGTACATTATATTTGCTATTGCTTAGGTCCAGTTTTTTAATATTAATTTTCTAATGTATTTTTTTATTTTTATTTATACTTAGATATATATTAAGGGATTTCGGAAAGTAATAATTAATTACATCTCTGTATGTTGGACATGACGATACGTTGGTCGTACCAACTATAATTGGTCGAAGCAATCTATATGTAAACCAAACATGTTGCATACTAAAATTATCTACATATAAATAGTATGTACTGAGAAGTTTAAATATAAACACGGATATTGATACAACTGCGATGCACAGAAATAATCTATATTTCTGCTTGAGGCTATGTTTTATTCAAGGTCCAAGAACAAATCCACCCTAGGCAATTAGAAGTGTATTAAATTGATGAGTTGATAAGGTTAATCGAAATGATTATGAAACTAAAATATAAATTAAAAACTGACTGTTTATAGATGCTTCACTAATGAAAGTTGTAGTTGGGAATAACTAAAATATAGTCTGTGGTATTGAGAGAAAATTTTTCTTCATCATCTTCCCCTATAATTGATCACTTGTTCCTTCTCCATTTGAACTCTTGTCCCCTTTTTAATTTCCTGTCCCATATTTTTGTTTAGCAAATTACCCGTATATTTGCAAATATAGTCGTATTGTATATAAAAATGTTGAGAAAATCTTTTGATATTATGTAATATATTTAAAGTTTATATTTTGTGTTCTTTAATCAAAACTTTATATCATTAAAACATTTATCTTGTTATAAATAGTTTAACTACGCATTTCTACAACAAAAATTCATATTCATGTTCCTGGAATAGCATGGGGTTTTTCAAGAAGGGTATATTAAGGTTTCTTAAAGGCCGGCAACGCAAAAGTGGCACCCCTGGTATCTCTAGCATCCATAGGCTACGGTAACCATTTACCATCAGATGGGCCGTAAGTTTGTTTGCCACCATCGTAGTATAAAAAAAACCAACGATACCGTCCTGTTAAGTGGTACTGATTATAATGAGAGAAATCTGGCTGATATAAAAAACTGTGTCAATTTATATTTCCGACTGCCAGGACCAAAAAGAGATAAATTTTTGGTTTATTATGAACAATAAATTTTCGGTTTATGACAACGTTTAGCACAAAAATATAGCCAGCGAAATGTACGAAAGACATATATTGAAAAAGCTTGGCAACAAAACCTCTGACCACTTGGGATAACAGCAGATATAGTATACTTTTATTATTTTATAATATACCCTTAATTATATTAAAAATTAATGCGTGTATTTTCATATACCTATAACGAACAATATACGCTATCTTTTATATATCATCTCAAATTGCTATGAGCATTTTTAAATAAATTAAATACCTAAAAAAGCGTGAAGATATATATAAAAAAGCGAAAAAGTCGCAGATATCTCAAATGTTATATATTTGAGTTTAGTTAGTGAGCATTTTTAAAAAAATAATTACAAAAAAAACCCAAAACGAAATTTCCAATACGTCAAAATGGTATCAAATGATAATGACGAAACAAAACAGTCTCTCATCGCTACACATTCAATGTAGGAAGACCTTACTTTACAATCAATAAACTGTACGCTGATACGATATGACGACCGTGGTACATTTTTTCAGTAGGCAAAACCCATTCTAAGCAAGTCGGGAGGTTAGTATATAACAGAGATGCATCTCAGACTCATCACAGTCAACCACCGGCTCACATTCGAGTAGTACACTCCAATATTTATATTAATAAACATATAATGAAGTTGGTGAGTACATTAAGGATTTTAGGAAAGTTACATTTTGTAGAGAAAGGATTCAGCGTCCTAGATTAGAAGGTGTTGGAATTTGCTCGCACCTTTGTAGGGCTAAATCGGGATGTGACAATGATTTGTTTAATTTTTTTTGGGATAAAATTATATATGTTTTTATATATCATTTTCTATATGGTTTTTTCTAAGTTTGTAATATATAAGCTATGACTAATATTTTTTCCCAACTAAAAGAGAATTGAAATATTTATTTTGAATATATAAGAGTTTATGTTAGTATTTTATCGAATAATTAATATGTTGAATCGCAAAATAAAGAGTATTAGATTATTCTAGAAACTTTTGTTGTTCTAAAGATATTCTCAATTAAAAAAAAAATATTAATAACAATTGGAACAATCAATGTATAATAACAGAACTGATAAACAAACTACTTCTATGCTTTCAGTTTGTAGTAGCTGCTATCATCGGTGCCTGCTTGGCCGACCGTCTTGACAACAAGTACTTGCCTCCTAGAGGAAACGATGGAGCTGGCTATGGCGCAAATAGTGGTGGCTTCGGTGCTGCCCCCAGTGCTGGTGGTTTCAGATCCGGAGGTGGTTTCGGCTCTGGTGGCTTTGGGGCAGGAGGTGCCTCTGGATTTGGCCGTGGAGGATCAGGTTTTGGTCAAGGCGCAGGTTTTGGAGGAGGTGCCGGCCAAGGATTTGGAACCCAACACTCTGGCAACGCATACAACGCTCCCGCTCAACAATACAGCAGCAGCCGCCCTCAAGATGCTGGTGCTCAGATCCTAAGATCAAACAGTGAAGTGACCGCCGAAGGGTTCTCCTACGACTTTGAGACCTCCAATGGAATCCGTGCTGATGCTTCTGGTGTTGCCACCAATGGTGTCCAGTCCCAAGGCAGCTTCGGATACAAGGGTGATGATGGTCAGGATTACAGCATCTCGTACACTGCTGATGAGAACGGTTACCAACCCCAGGGTGCTCATTTGCCAACCCCCCCTCCGATCCCTGAAGCTATCTTGAAGTCTCTGGAACAAAATGCCCGTGATGAAGCTGCCGGCATCTCTGATGATGGTAAGTGATTTCATATTACTTTAAATTCTTTAATGGAATATTTTTTCTTTTCAGCCCCATAAAACATTTTAGCGACATTTTTATTCTATCTTGTTGAAATACTAAATAATATAATTTCCAAATCAAATAAAAATAACATAACTTAAAAAGAAGTTAAAATTATTACTACATTAAGTTTCTTGTAGAAACAACGTAACGAGCGTAGTGTGTTTATTTAATTTGTACACGTCAATATTCATCGTATATCGCTGTGGTTTTTTTTCTCATATATACATAAGTATCGTAAAAATCTACGTAATAACTAAATCTAGCTTCAATTACTATTACGCATTTGCTTACAATAGCACTTAGTCCACAAAAACCCGGACCTAACGTAAATCTTATAAAAATAAATACTTCCATAAAAACTTAATAACTGAATTATCTAGCTAAATTTAGTACAAAAACTGAACGAGTCGGCAATGCTTAATAATTTAGTGGAATTTACAAAAAGCAATACAAAGTTTAGCTTAAAGCTAATAATGTGTTTTATCATAAAGTTCATATTAAGTAAGTCAGTAAACCACGGATTGACCTCGCTCGATCAATTGCTGGTGATCATTTATTGAATGTGTATATGATTGCTAAACGAGTTCGGACGTATTGAAAATTTGACAAAAATGTTAAATGATAAAAGCAATAATGAAATTCCCAAAAATGTATATAAAAAATAAATTATTTGTTCAACAAATTGTAGTAAAACCTACGTAGGTTTTAGTCAGAACACTTAAATATAAATTGATTTGTTGATGGGAAATCTAATATTATAATATGTTTACAGAATCTAACGGAACAGAAAAAATATAAATATTCGAAATGCATTATACACTTTTTTATTTAAAAACAGAAATGACTTGATTATTATAAATTTTTAGAAAAGCTATATATTTTCATCCCATACTAATAAACGGGTTTGGTCAATTAAAAATTCACTCTAAACATTCCGTGCACTTAAAACATCTTATAGACAACTAGCTACTCGCCCAGGCTTCGCCCCGGTGTACACATATAATATATATATTTTATACACTCCTCTTGAATCACTCTATCTATTAAAAAAACCGCATTAAAAACCATTTACCACAGTTTTAAAGATTTAAGCATACATAGGGACGGACAGACAGCGACAGCGACTTTTGTTTTATACTATGTAATACACGTGTATATGTACAGAAATTGATAGTCGCCACAACACAATTTTGCGATATGCAATTAAATGATGTTACAAAAGGTCGTGAGATCAGAGCATCGTCTTATGTCATACCGCGACGCCATTACTTTGTCTAGAGATGCCCTTGCGACGCTAAGCTGTAATTAGCTTACTTAGTATTAATATAAGTAGAACAAGTGTAAACATACTCCTACATCTTTTCAATTATTTAGAGTAAATTCTTTGAGAATTTGACATTGACTTAATATACTAATTTAAGTAATTTAACTTAACTTAGATATTTATTAAAATGATATGGTAATATTCTCCAAAGATTAAAAACGTTTTTATTGATTTAGGAATGATTATTGCTTAAGCTTTTTGTGATTATTAAGATTTCTTAAGGGATGGCATCATGGACGTAACACTCTTAGTAATTTAGAGATCCATAGGTTACAGTTTACAATTCGGTAAACCGTATGCATATTTGCCAACAGTGTGGTATAAAAAAAAACTTTTTTTCTTATTACGACTTTAATAGATAATAAATAAGCTTAAATAGTACAAAATTAATGTAATTTAAATCTAAATCTTATATATAAAATTCTCGTGTCACAGTTTTCCTTCCCATATTCCTCCGAAACGGCTTGACCGATTCTCATGAAATTTTGTGAGCGTATTGAGTAGGTCTGAGAATCGGCCAACATCTATTTTTCATCCCCCTAAATGTTAGGGGTAGTCCACCCCTAAATTTTATTTTTTTATTTTAAGGCTATACAACGTTTGCAGGGACAGCTAGTGTTAATATATATTTTTCTGTTAATAAGACAAATTTGTCTCTGTTCCGAAAATTCCATAAATAGGCAGTCACCCTACAGATTAACACCTAGCCGGCCAGCATGAGCCGATGAGTTACAAAATGACGCGAGAGAAGGTTGCATCAGGTCGTGACCGCTCTCCGTGGAAGCTGTTCAGAGCAGACTAACTGACCTATCTAATTTAATAATATAAATGTTTTCCTAAAAAATAAAGCTAAGCTCACGGTTTCGCCTGAGCGATATTCAAAGCCAATGTGTTATTCCGATGTAGAAGCTGTATTATTGTAAAGTTACATTAAAGTAGTTTCTTCGTGAAAGAATAACAAACATCCATATATACTCACAAACAGCCGCGTACAATATTAATAAGATATGTTATTATCACTATAATAATGGCAATAAAATCTTTAGAAAAAAGAAATTCTGAAAGTCGATACGAGAACTCGCGGTTATTCATTGAAACATTCTCTCAACATAAACATAAATTTTGTGTCCGAATTGAAATTTCAGCTTTATGGAAACTTACAGTATGGAGTTAATTTATTATTGTGATTTTTAGTTGGGTCAAACTCCACATATTGTATACTAAAATAGTTGGATCAAACTCCACATATATCGGCTCAATTGTATACTAAAAATTCAGGCTGACCAACCCAATTAGTCTAATTGTACAAAATTGAAACTTTTTCTATGTTGGTTACAATTTTCGAACTTCTCTATCCATTCCCCTTCGACCTTTACGACCGGTCGTTAAACTCGATGTTATTATATTTCGCATATTCTGTGCTATACATTTTATACTAAGTAAGACTAACTGACTCTGTAGCAAATGATAATGATCACTGCATAATGAGTAAATCGGGTATTTACAGGAATTTTGCCTTGGTTTTTTAATAACTTTAAATTCAATACTAGTAGGTAACATTAATGACAGTAGACTAACTCCATTTCTAATGAGGAACGCCCAACTGAAAAAAATAATCGAACGAAATAAATAATAATCGAACTCATTTCAAAATGAATAAAATGTTTATTGAGACAAAAATTCTTGTAATTACGCTTAAAAATGCTAATGTATGTAATTACAGAAGTTATGTAAAAACGTTATTGTAAATAAAAAACAGCGAAAATATATTTTTAGTATACATATTTTACTTTAGATTAGACATTATTAAAAAAATAGAAATATATATTATATATGTTACATTAGATCTATATAAAAATTGTATATTAACAAAATTGAATTCAGGTCATATTAAATTATTATTAGGCATTTCTTAAGTGAAAATTTTCTAAACATCCTTACATAGTATAAAACAAAGTCGCTGTCGCTGTCTGTCCCTATGTATGCTTAAATCTTTTAACCTACGCAACGGATATTGAAGCGTTTTTTTTAATAGTTAGAGTGATTTATGAGGAAGATTTATATAAATAATACATGTACACCCGAGCGAAGTCGGGGCGAGTAGCTAGTTCTTAATAAAACAACATATATATATATATATAATATATATATATATATGTTGTTTTATAATATAATATATATATATATTAGTTTATATTATTTTACTTTGGATCTAGATAAATATATATTTATAAGAAATACTGTTCATATTAAAATATTATAAGGCACGTATTAAGGCGTGGTGTAACACCGATCTTGTTATCCGATACATTGCTAAACTTCTATTATTAAAAGGTCACACGAAAATATTGTACTATTATTAGTTATTTCTAATCTATATACGGTACTTGAGAATATTTCGCAACATTTTTATTTGCTGATTCTTTTTCTTTATAATTTTAAACACTCAATTTATTAATTCATTTTCATTTAACTCAACAATTTGACTAATAACCGATTATTTAATAACGATGACGAAAAATATAAATAAATGATAACACTAGGATAATTTACACAGCGCCATCTAGTCTTAAGTTGAGTAGAGCTTGTGTTTTTCAGTTAGAAATACTTTTTTTTTAATACATAAATAATATACTTCGAAAACACCCAGTACATTACAAATATATTCATGAAGACAACTGTTTGTACTATGCGATGAATCGAACCCGCAACCATAGGAAGTTAGGTGGTGTGTTAAACAACTGGACCACCAAGGCCGTCAGTTTAAAAATAAAGGTTCTCTTCAAAGTTTCATGTAATAAAAATATTATTAATGTTGACCATAGTAGTAGGATTTGGTTATAATACATTAATTAATAATCAATAAGTAATGGTTTATGCATTTATTTAGTGAGTACAGAACCATAAAAAGAATCATCATAATTACATTATACTCAAAATTTTCATTTTTCAATTAGTGAGGTGTAAGTAGAAGTCGCTTCCGGCGTCTGTTCGCTTAGAATTTTTAAACTACGCAATGGATTTTAATGCAGTTTTAAGCAATAGATAGAGTTCAAGAGGAAGATTTATATGTATAATATATGTACACCCGTACAAAACCGGGACCGGTAGCTAGTGTATTATAAAATGACACACTCGAATTGGGTAACATTTCATCTAGCGAAAACGGTTAGACAGACAAATAGACATAATAACATAAGTGCGGGTCGGGCAGCAATCTCACTAATATTAATAACTGTAATATCAGCTTCATCTGGATAATGGCGTTTGCGAAACAGTGTGTATACAGGCTTATGTTTTGTAAGAACAAAAATAAACCTGGACAATTAACATAGCGCCACTCAGTCTTAAGCTAAACAAACCCTGTTATATGTACTATACACTGACATAAATAGTTTTTTGTAAACCTAAATATACATAGAAAACACACAGACTAAAATCAATCATACTCATAAATAAAAATGTTTACACTACAACTGCACTAGGAATCGAATTCATGACTATTGGAAAGTAAGGCATAATTACTTAAATTCATATTTTTATATATACATGAGAAGCATCAATACTAAAACAAGCAATCATACTTATGAATACAAATGTTTGTACTAATTACACGAGGAATAGAACTTGTGACTGTCATAAATAAGGCGCTGTACTGAACCGAAAGATATTTCGAAGATCCTCCTTCACTTTCTGTACCATGAAATTTCTCTGCCTCCTCTCACCTTATGACAGAAGCACATTAATTAATATATTTATGAATACGTTTTGTTTATTTATTTATTCAGTAACAATTTATATTGTGTTTCTAATTATACAATTTTTGCTTCTATTCATCAACACTATAAAAAGATTGTTCCGACAGAAAAAAGAGCAACATGCCCTTAAGAAGTGTTAGTTTTTGTATAGTTAGATGTTATTTTGTGGAAGTTCATTTCATTAAGCAAATATTAATATAGCAATATTAATTTGTTTAATTCCACTACCATTAGTAAGTTAGAAATTAAATATATTCAGTGATGGAGGCCGGACCACTATTAGAAGCGTTGCAATCTTTTATTTGTGACTAGCTACTCACCCCGGCTTTGCATGGGTGTACATGTATTATACATATAAACCTTCCTCTTGAATTACTCTATCTATTAAAAAAACCGCTTCAAAATCCGTTGTGTAATTTTAAACATTTAAGCATACATAAGGACAGACAGCGACAAGGACTTTGTTTTATACTATGTAATAATAATGATTACTTTCAACTGTTATTTAGTCTACATCCATATCCGAATGTAGGTATACACTCAATTAAAGAAATAATGTGCGAATATTCCAAATTTTGGCGGAATTAAATAAAATAATATCAAACTACTAATTAATATATTTAAGAAGTCAACTGTACCTGTATATAATGTAATAGAATGTCAGTACCATAACGTCTCATGTATTGTTCAAAGTTTCACACCAATCCCTGTGGGACTGGATTTTGTCATACAATTTTATGTTAATTGATGTGTTCGAGAAGTATGTTGTAATGTCCGCTTAACAATAGCGCAGTTAAATCTGTAGTTATAAACGTTTGTGTTATTTTGTTATAATTGGTTCAACAAGTACGTTATTTAGTGGCCTTCCATATCTTACGTCATCATCAGCTCATGATTTATTAAACCCATCTTTGTCACAGTCGGTCACTTTTTTGTAAGATAATCCTGCTTTACTGTAACATATTCTGCAAAATTCAACTCTACCTATCTTATTTATACATATATTACGACTTACTCCATTATTACAGTAAAAAATTAAAAAATATAATATAGTATAAAAACGACTCCCTTTACGCAATATTGTTACTTATATCGTCTTATTTATTTATTTAAACTTTATTGAATTGTATACAATGGGCTTAGAGTCCTTTTTTCTTCTTAGCAACCCTTGTCACACATTGCTCTACCTCTATAATATATATAATCTCTTATTAACAAAAGACATTGCAAATTGTACCTTATGCAGAAATACTAATACCCTAATTTAATATAACTAATACCATAAAACAATTATTAAAAATTAAACAAACCGAACTAACAATGCCATATAAAATTGCACAGATTCACCTGACCCCACTTTGAACTAGACAACTACTTGTCTAACGAGATGAGTATTAATTAAAATCACGATCAAGCGTGAGTCGTACAAAGTAGATGGTTCCGTGTCAAAAAGTTTTATAGTAATATACCATCACATATTACATAAGAATATATCAATAAATATTACACATTTATGACAAGATATGACTGTCAGATGTGTTTGTTGAATATAAAATTTAATATAATAATACCTCAAGCCAATTCACACAATGCCATCCAGCCTTAAGGAAAGCAGAGTTTCTGTTATCAGAACTAGATAACTGGCAATTGAGACATGTCTTTTTTATATAAATATATATAAAACACCCAGACCGATACCAACAATCATAGTCATGAAACAAATGTTTGTACCGTGCGTGGAATCGAACCCGTGAGATGGTGTGCTAAACCGCTAGACCACCGAAGTAATAATTTCTGTTGTTTACTTGACTGTGTATTCTTCAAGTTTATTTTTGTCAGAGCAAATTTTAATAACTTCTATTACTTTGTGCATTATGAAAGTTTCTTGGTTATTCTTCTTGTAATGAGTTTGCTCCGAATGAGTGGTAGAATAAAAAAAATATGACTATTCAAAAGCTCTTATATTAAGTCTATTTGAATAAATATTATTTTTATTTCTATATACGTTCTACAATGAGACCAACATTGTAGAACGTATAAGTTTCACGTGTGGCTCTGTCTCACCTATTTCAGCCGAGTGGCTTGCTGTGTAGGGATGAAATAAGGCAGAGAAATTACTGGGTACAGACCCGTGACATCTTATTCCTACGAAATTTAATACGGAACCCTAAAATAATCACAACTGTAATCGTTAGATTTGATAGATAGACATTCAGATAAACATTACCAATTGTATGTTACTCAAGCATTGTTTCAGTGTAACACTAACTATAAAGTTAGCTTACATAAGTAAGCTTTTACATAATAATGATCATAATCTTGTTAGTGTGATATTGATCATCATCCTAATTGGCTTGGCATAGTTATCAATACCTAATTAGATACAAGTTTAATTCTGTGTATTTGTTTGGAAAATCTAGTGCAATAAAAAAATCGTATATATGATGAAAGTGATTTTATCACTAGAAAGTATCGCAATAGTAAAAAAATACAGCTAAATTAATAAAAAAAAGAATTTAATCGATACCTGAAAATACCGTGTTGATTATTAAAGATATCATAGAGACGAGATGTAAGTTTTAGAATAAACAGACATTACTTAAATCAATTTAATAAAATCATATAAGTAAATAACCCTGCACAACGAAGATACAGGTCATTTGGTCCCATTTAGTTCATTTTACATTATCTGGTCCATTTTATATAAAAAAAATATTTTAATGAATGAACAGAACTTGTAATATACAATTGATAACAATATTTAAAATGTAAATACTTAGATTATTAACGTTAACAATATAAAAAATACAACTCTTAAATAAAAATATTTGTAATACCCGGGAATCGATTCTGTGACCATCAGAAAGTCAGGCAGTCTGCTAAGCCACTAGATCTAATATCACAAACATTTTAATACATTCAATACCTTATTAAACATTTGTAACATTACTCAAACTACATTTGTAACGTTCAAATGTAACCTTTTTAAATATCCGTGTAAGTACGAAAGGTCGATAACGACTTCATAACGGTAATCTCGCGGTCGCAACCTTGAGAAGCTTTCGGATGCCATCGTGGTGTGGCTACGAAATGCGCGGGATACGATTAGTAAGTCAAGCGAATTATTTTGTAAGCGGACGTCAAATCAGTTTTTGAAACAAATTCCGAATGAAAATCGTTCTAATTTTGAATATTTTTTAATATACTTTTAGATTAACAAAAAAAAAAAACCAATATGTTGTACTATGTATTTACGCTAAAATATGTGTTGATGTTGCAGTATATTTCTGGTTACATCTTGTATTTTTGTTACATACTAAATAGAAAGCAATTTTAGCGTTATATCTAAACTAATCTTCATTATAATAACTTTGATTCAAAGAAGGTTGAAATTTATGTTCAAATAAATTTAATAAAAAATAAAATTTGAATCGAACAAATCTTAACTCATAACTTGCAGTGAAAAATATTAATTCCTATCACTTACTTTAAAATATTTAATTTCACCTTCCCGAGGTTCCTGTAAACGTATCACGATAATTTCCTAATGAATTTTGTACGATGAGCTAATTGACCTGACCTTATGCTCATCTTGTCATCCTCTATTAGTGCCCTGCCAGCGTAAACCGTTAGCGCAGGTGGATGCACCATTCCATTATAATGCACAAAAAATACATTGAGGTGTAGCAGCTATTTTTTCTTTCTTTTTTCATTTATTTATTTAATAAATATAGGTACATTCATTTTTATACATGTTAGAAACGCTAATTTTGTGGCCAAACCAAATAATCAAGAACAATACAATAAAATACACGCATGATCATCTTATTACAAAACGGAAATTTTGTAATTTAAATGCGTTCATATTACCTGCCTCAATTATTATGAAAAGGCATATAACTGTTGGTTGTTAAGGTCACTCAAGTGTGGGACGTTATTGATAAGTTAATTATATCTGCACTCATCTTGGTTTTACCCGCGACTTTGCTTGCAAAAATAAAATTTAATAATCGTTGGGGATAAAAAGTTGTCTATGTTCTTTTTCGTCTTCAATTCTATAAAATTTCATGTTAACTATTTAATACAGTCTGCTAATGGCCTATATTATAAATATGTTATACTTTAAACTTTGACAGCTACGGTGGTCTAGCGGAATAGCACGTACCTCCAGTGATCGCCGTTCGATTCCTCGCATAGTTTTAGTACAAACATTAGTATTCATGAGCAGGATTATATCGGTCTGGGAGGTTTTTATTTAAAAAAAAAAGTATCTATGTATTTATATCAGATGTTTAGTACCCATAACACAAGGTCTGCCAGTGTATAAACCCGAGAGTTTGTTACCGATAAATAATTTATGCGTGACGAGGGGTCTTTGGGTAGAATGCAAAAAAAATTGTAATTAATATTAACTCATATAATAATACTCTTTACAGGCTCATACCGCGGTGAGGGTGCTGGTGCTGGTGGTTACTCTGGATCCAGCTCTGGTGGTTACTCCGGATCCAGCTCTGGTGGTTATTCTGGTGCTGGTGCCAGCTTCGGACGCGGTTCAGGATCTGGCTTCGGCGGTGGTGCAGGTTCCGGTTTCGGAGGAGCTGCCAGCTCTGGTTTCCGTGGCAACGCTGGATCTGGTTTCGGCGGTGCTGCCGCATCTCGCCAGTACTTGGCTCCCAACGCTGGATCCCGCCCATCCGGCTCTGGCAACTTCAACTCCCAAACCGGCTATAGATACTAAACGAATCCCACCGATGGAAGGGTACGCTGATTTATTTATTGCAACTTCATAATCCTGTGGATTGTAGTCAAAAGTTGTAAAAAACTAAAACCATTCCTTAAATTTTCCATCATTCATCATTGTTGGTACTTTGGTCTTCTGTTTAATTCTTTATTGTTTATTGTTTCGGTCTGTTCGTTCTTTTTAATCTTTTGTATCTTGATACGTCATTCATTAATTTAATTATTTATGAACATAACTAATGCTTAAATTACTTCTTGAATTTCTAATCCCTTCCATCACTATGACTTTGTGATATAACGATACTGTCTTACCAATTTATAGCTATTCTGTTCTTTTCTAGAAGTTATTGTCAACCTGGTCTGTTTTTTTATAATGTGATCTCAAATTTCTTTCTCTTTCTGCTTGTATAATTAATTACTTTTTATTAGAAAAATACTCGTTATTGTAAGTTTTATATTCAAGCTATGTAAATGGACAGTACTAGGAGTAAGAGAAAATGTTCAAAAAAATGTAGTTTGACTTTTGTACTATAAATTAGTAGTAAGTTTTGTAAATACAAAATGAATATACGATGTATAAAGCATTTATGATTTTTTTTTTACCCTACTGTACATTATTAATAGACTAATATACTGTTTACCACTCTAAATTGAATATATTTGATGACCTCGGTGGTCTAGTGGTCAAGCACACCGCTTTACGACCGATGGTCGCGGGTTCGATTCCTCGCACGGTACAAACATTTGTATTCATGAGTATGATTGTTTGTATCGGTCTGGGTGTTTTCTATGTATAATATGTATGTATTTACAAAAAAATATCTATGTATATGTATCAGTTATCTAGTACCCATAACACAAGCTGTAGCTAGCTTAACTTGGGTCTAGATGGCGCTGTGTGCATTGTCCTGAGATTATTATTATTATTATTATATTTGACAATATGATTGGAAAAGTCTTTAACATGAAATCGTAACAAACATATAAACTTTTATATTTACAACATCAGTCAAGTGTGTGTACGTACGTACTATTGCTGATGTACAAAATAATATTCTCTGGAATATGGTAGAGAAATTATTGTTCAAATATTAATAATATCCCTGGACAAATCCTATAGCGCCATCTAGTCCTAAGCTAAGTAGAGCTTGTGTTATGTGTACTAGATAACTAACGTAAACATAATTAAATATATTTTCTTATAAATGTATACATAATGTACATATGAAACACTCAGACCAATAGGAATAATCATATTCAAGAATTTCAATGTTTGTATGGTGCGGGTACTTGAACCTGCGACCATCAGAGGTAAGGCAGTATCCTAAAGCACTAAATCGCCGATGTCGTCAATATAAGTATAGTATGTACTATGTACTAATACTAACATAGGTACAAAATTGTATTCACAGAAATATGGCAATAATATCACTAAAAATTTATTCACTTAATAAACTTAATATTATTTATTAAGTCTAAAATCTAGAGCTAACTTTTTAAACACGGAAATTAAAAGACAATGAAACAGCTATATTAAAAAAAAATATAATAATAGATAAATTGTTTTTGAAAACAAAATTAGCCTAACTTCCCTTCACTTTAATAACTTGTCGCATAGAGTGACAACAATTAACAATACAATAATAAAGTTAAGAGTGACAAATGTATAGATAGACTGACAGTATCTATTGTTGTAAGTTGACACTGTAGTGTATTTAGTAGTAATTAGCATTATACATTACAATACTACCATTATCACGATAAACTATAAACTTTAGCTTAGTACAAATATGAATAAAATTACAGAACTAGAGGCAGAGAGAGATGGAATTTAGTCTTCATGAAAGGTTAGTGTTGTTCATGTTAATAGACAGTAGTTACTACTTACCACTGGTAACTAGTAACTATTATCTATGTAATTGTTCTATTAATGGCAAACAGTCTGATTACTGATACTGATACTGATCGGTATGTAATTTGTCATTTCAATTATTTAAAAAAAATGGATTCCACAGGTAAAAAACTAAGATAAGAGAGAAAAACATCTTAGTATTCCATAGATTTATCTTGAGGGTGCCGGGTCCGAAAGACGAGCGAAACTCCAAGCTGTTCCCGGAACTTGTGATCCGGATGTAGGTTTAAGAGGCCCTTGTCGACGTACGTCAAAACTCACCTTCATGGACCGTTTCTTTCCCTAAGCCAAATCTGATAGGAGCCCGCTAGTGTAACTTTAGGTACACCTCCTAGTATAGAAGTTACTGCAATTCCTGTATAGACAGGCTAAGATCATTCAGAAGATTGTTGAGAGATTTCACCGGTATATCTCTCGCTCCCCCTTCGACTGCAATATACATAAATTAGTCAAATAGTTTTTTTTCGATAATTCGTTTTAGTTCGTAATATTTATTTGTTTTTATCATACGCTCTTTAGGTACATTTATTTCCTATAGTATATCTACCATTAAATTTACGATGTAAAAATAATAGAATTGACAATAAATGTTACTTACTCGGAATAAACATTCAGAACCGAGCAGCCAGAATCATTGGTAATCAACGTCTATGTGACAGACTCGACCCATTTTTGATTGCATCTCTGTGCATCTACCGCATATATCAAGTGTTCAGTTTTCGGATTAATATTTTCACCACCGTACCACCCGCCAGAAACTGAAATACCATCCTGATCATCTGGATGAATCTTCCACATACGGTTTTCTAGAAACTTTTTGTCGCACAACCAAATTGTGGAATCACCTTCCAGAAATGGTATTTCCGAACCGATACGAATATATATTCCTTTTTAAAAGGCCGACAACGTATTCCCTTGCAATTGCAATGTGCTCATGGGCGGCGGTAATCACTTACCATCAGGTGAGCCGCATGATCGTTTGTCCCCTGTGTTATAAAAAAAAAAAAATCTTGGTTTCTTTATAAATATTTCTGAATGTAGTTAGAATCTATCTACGTCCTGAATGGCTTGGCGGTTTATAAAACGGTCTTACTTCCAGTATCTGCAATCTGATCGCAGATTCGATTCCTTGCACGGTACAAATATTTGTAGTCATGGATATGATTCTTTGTTTTGGTTCGTTTGCAATGTTTTTGAAAATAAAATATTAATACATTTGTATTAGTTGTCCAGTATCCATAATACATAAATGCTTCTGAACACCTCATATGCGATTACAGTTGTGACATATTATAGTTAATTTCATTAATATTTCTTCTTCATTATATTTATGAAGAAACATACAAAATGGTCCGATGTTTTTATTGTCTATACCTGTCAAAATAAGTTATTAAAGATCACGATACACAAGTTTGTTACTTAAGTATAATTTATTTAATGTTAACTTTATCGTTAATGGTGATACCACGAAAATGTAGAATGCATCTAAATCCAACAAGAATTTACAATCTAAAATGTCCGAAGAGATTACAAGTGACTTTAATGAATAATAACGATATTTTAGAGCAGCATAAAATGTAAATCCGAGTTTAGTAATTGCCATATTGCAGGGCTCGGCTAATTTCCTAATGCTCATGCTATAATTTGCTTAGTTTGTGAACAATTTAGGAATGTATCATCTGATATTTGAACTCATTCGAAGTAATCACTTTGGCGTAATTATTTTTAATTAGATGAGATACATTATAGTGTAGTTATTTATGGTGTACTGTGTATATTTGTATGATAATCATTTCACATCATTACCTCTTTTCATGATGATTGGCTGCTTACAGACAAGATGGACGCGTTCCATAGTTCACCTATAAAATATTATTATTATTAATCTTTGACAGGAGAGAGAGAGATTGTCAAAGACTAATAATTGATGGTAAATCTATCTTGATTTTAATAAGCTATGTGTATTTAAATATACTAGTGATCGAATTTCGATCATAATTAATATAAATTACAAGTTTGAACATTATTAAGGATCTATTGTCAAAGAATGTGTAATGTATGTCAAATGCCTATGCATTTGAATCTAAATATACTGCAATTGGTGTTACAAATCAGACTAGTAACGTTTATTATAGATTAGATTTTGTATTTGTAATGTTATAATTATCATTATATTAATGTAATAATACGTGAATGCAAAAACTATTTTAACTTTTCATTCATTCATAAAAAGGTGCCTTCCTTCATAAAAAGGTGTACAAAGTTTTTGCATTCACGTATTATTACATTAATATAATGATAATTATAAACGTTTCTATATCTAATCTAAACGTTACTAGTCAGATTTGTAACACCAATTGCAATATATTTAGATTCAAATGCTCTGGATGACATCTTCGTCTACGGAATCCTCCGACGAAGATGGACCGTCTAGTTTTTGCTGCAGATCATCGTTAGATACGTGCAACTCCATAAAAAGATATTAAAACGGGTCAATTGATTTATTATCTCAATGGTACAAGTGACATTCATTTGTATTTATCAACTCTATATATAAAGTAACAGGATTGAGATTCGTCTGACAGAAATAACGAGATGAGTCTAATACCCATTTATGTCTAATCGGAGGTCACGGGTTCGCAGGGTTCGCAGTTTTTGCAGTCCATCTCAATATTGTAATTACGTAACACGTGTAACATAATTGATCTAATGGGATCTGATTTTAATACTAAATGGTTGTAGGTAATATAAATAGAAGGATTTGAGATAAGTTTTTAAGATGATAAAAAATAAATTAAATATTTAATCTCCGTATGCATTTCATGTGATTAAATGCATATACTAACCTTAACATAATATAAAATGAGTTCTATGTTGAAAGGGTGATTTTTTTTAAATATCCTTCTGAGTTGTAATATGTAATATTATGTTATCTGTGGTTGTACTATGGAAGTTACGATATATATTTTTTTTTATAACACAGGGGACAAACGAGCATGCGGCTCACCTGATGGTAAGTGATTACCGCCGCCCATGAGCACTCGCAACACCAGGGGAATTGCAAGTACGTTGTCGGCCTTTAAAAAAGGAATAAGCTCTTTTCTTGAAGGTTTCAATATCGTATCGGTTCGGAAATACCATTGCTGGAAGGTGATGCCACAATGCGGTTGTGCGTGGCAAAAAGTTTCTAAATATTATGTATTATCATGGATACCTTTATGACTTGTTTATGTAAACCGACTGGGATAAAACAAACAATATTTTAGTGCAGCTTACCGCAAAACATTGGTGAATATTACATCAATTTTTTTTTCTTTATATTCTTTATTTAACTATAATAAAACTGAAATAAATAGAATTATACTAAGTGGATACTAACATAATGTAAAGTTTTACAAAAACAATTTCGTCTTTTTAAATATTCTGAACGCACAATTGCACAGACATATAGAGAGAAAAATTAAATAACATTAAAAAACACCTTCTATATTCTATGATAGCCATTAATAATTTTATTTATTTGTTTAGAAGTACCCCATTACCTAATATTTTACTACCCTTAGACTTAGATCAAAATAATAATAATAATATCTCAGGACCATCTAGTCCCAGACTAAGCAAAGCTTGTGTTATGGGTGCAACATAACTGATACAAATAGCTACTTTTTTTAG